GTCCAACTTGGGTCTACCGGATATCTGCTCATTGAATCTCCCAAAGACCCAGACTGAAGAAGACTTCATTTAAAACACAATTTTCCCCATAATCACTGTAACAGTGGGAAGTAGAATAAAATGAGTCACACACTAACCCTTAAAACATGTTACAGAAGTGACACCGATCACTTAGATTCAAATTCATTCATTGGTCAAAGGCAGTTGGTGACCACCGTAACTTCTAAGGGGTGACGAAGGGCAGCTAACCCTGGCTGGAAGGAGAAGCTAAAGGCTTATGAAAATCCCTAAGGAATACCACAGCTCAAGTGTACTCTGATGTTTAGAAAATTCTCTAAGTAGAATCTAGTTTTCAAAGTTCTCAAAACAGAAAAGTTATTTAAAAAAAAAAAAAATGGTGCTTGAAAGATTAATTTTGACTTCTCTGGAAAACTCAAGTTTTTACTTAATTTGGAATAATCTCACTAGTTTAAAAATTCTCTATCTGTTGTTGTTAGGTGCCATCAAGTCATACCGACTCATAGCGACCCTGTGCACAACAGAATGAAACACTGCCCGATCCTGGGCCAACCCCACAATCATTGCTATGCCTGAGCCCATGGATGCTGCCATTGTGCCAATCCATCTCGTTGGGAGTCTTCCTCTTTTTCTCCTACCTTTCACTTTACCAAACATGACGTCCTTCTCCAGGGACTGATCCCTCCTGATAATGTGTCCAGAATATGAGAGACTAAGTCTGGCCATCCTGGCTTTCAAGGAGCACTCTGGCTGTACTTCTCTATCTGTTATTGTTGTTGTTAGGTGTCATTGAGTCAGTACTGACTCATAGCAACCTTACGCACAGCAGCGAAACACTGCCCGATATATCAATATTTCTTTGCAGGAACTGTGAAAAAAATCATGGCTAAGATGATTTATATATGAATTTTTCTTTAAAAAAGTATTGCTCATGTGTTTTAAGTGTTTATATTATCCCCTAACTTGTGTAACTGAGTCCTGATATGACACTATTGGATAAGCACTGGACTGCTAGCCACAAGGTTGGTGGTTCAAACCCACCAGCCACTCCTTGGAAACCCTGTAAGGTGTTACTTAACAACAGCAACAACAAATCAAAAGGATTAGAATTATTTCTTATAATTAATTTCTTCTCTGTAGTACTTAACACTGTAGAAGATAGGTTATTTAATAGATTCTAAGAACTTTTACTGATCTATTTATTAATGAATAGTTTTAAAAATCATTAGGGTCTTAGGGGTGTCACAGAAGTTGAAAACACTCAGGAAAGTTTTAAAATCTTTGCTGGTGATTATGATGGAATCTGAAGGGCAAAATTCAGTAGTGCCTCCTTCATAGGGTAGAAACCAGAAGGGCATTCTAGTTTTTACCCAATGTCACAAGACAACCAGACGTTCTTTTCAGAGATCGTTTCTCTGTGATGTTTTTTTAGTTTTCACATGCTTTATTTGGCAGTAGGATTTGGATGAATTGTAGCTTTAAAAATATTATGAAATGAATACAAGTGCTCAGGGAGGTATTCAGTTGCCCAAGATCTTGTAAGGCTCTAAACACTCTTCAAAACAAGCCCATCCTCGCTTCTCAACCCACACCCTTCCTGGATGACCAGATAGAGGGCAGTTCTCATTCTCATGAAATGCTAAGTGCTCAGGGACGGGAATGTGTGAGGACAGAACTTGGCCCAGAAACAGGCTCTCTATAATTTAATAGCAGAATTACTCCCCTTGGAGTTACTCATTGATTGAATCCCAACCATGCAAGTGCGTTTCCAAAATCAATCACTCTTAAGTTGTTCCACATGTGCTTGTAAACATACACGTGTGACCTCTGTAACTGGGTTCTTCATTGTCTAGCCCTGGTGCTAAAGGTGAAGAAGGTGGGACATGCACGTTTAGATTCTGGTGTCAGATGACCTGGGATTCAGTCTCACCACTACCACTGCATGTTGTTAAGTGCTGTTGAGTCAGTTCTAACTCATAGCAACCCTGCATCAGGAGTCCAAGCAGCAACACTATGTAAAAGTTGTGTCATTTTTGGTAAAAGTCATTTAACCTCAGTAACGCGCAGGTTCCTTGTTTGTAATATGGAGATAAACAGTATTGCCCATATCACAAGATGGCTGTGAACATTAATTGAAACAACATGCGTTAACATGCTTAGCACCATGTACATGGTAAGCTTCTCTATAAGTTAGCTATTATTGCTAATATTGTGTTACTGTTGTTGTTGTTGTGTGCCATTGAGTTGGTTCCAACTCATAGCGACCCTGAACAGTGCTTCTGAGGAGCAGCTCATGGGTTTGAACCGTCAACCCTGTGGTTAGCAGTCTGGTGCTTATCCTACAACTCCACACCGGATTGCTTAATCTTTGGGGGAAACAGATCTCAAAAGTCATTGGATTCAGCTACTAATCCAATAATTGAATCTTCTCTATAATTTTCTTGCCCCAAACTCTGCCAGTCCATGACTGAATACTTATTATTGGATACCTCTTACTGCTCAGACTTTCTCCTATCAAACCAGAGCT